ACATTGCTAAGAAGTCTTAATACATGTTTTTATAATGTTTTAGATTATTTCCTATGCTAAATTCCCAGAAATGGAATTCTTGGAGGAAAGGGCAAGACTGTTTTTAAGGCTCTTCATACACATAGTGAAACTGTTTTTCCAGTAGACTGAACTCCTTGAGGACAGGTATGTTATTTTATTAATCTCGTATCCACAAATAGGCAATCTATCCAACCTAATATAATGCCTGACACTCCATGTTTTTTTAAAATAAAGCTTTATATCAACTTATAATACTGCCTCAAAGACTTATATCCCTATAGCCCTTATACAATATTTCAAAACCATCCAACCAGAAGAAAAATGGTCAACGATGCAGGCAAATGGTGGTGGAACATTATTACCCCATTAAAAAGTATGTTTGCAAAGAATATTTAGAAGGACAAAAATACTCATGATATAACATTAAGTGGAAAAGGATAACCTATATACATGCCATTTGTTATCTTCTAAAAATTATATGCACACATACCATGTATGCACAAGCAGAGAAAGAAACTGTAAAAACAGCATTTTTATTAGCAGTGGTTATTTCTGCTAGTAGGAATCTAGGCAGATTTCCTTTTCTTCTACTCATGTTTATGTACTTGCCAAGTTTCTACAATGAATAATATCCTTTTATTAAAAAAAAAAGTTACCTAAAAATTGCAATGCTACCAATTAGAGAGGTAACAGTTTTATCACACTCTCTCACCACTCTAGGCATTATAATTTATTTTTCCAATTCTGTCTAATCTAAAAGGAGTAAGACGGTGTCTGATGTCTTATAAAAAAGTTAGTTTATAAATAGGAATAGAGATATCAACAATTTTTCTGGTTCTTTATTAGCTGATTACATCTGACCTCTATAACCCTGCAGAGGGTCTCAACAGCTCACAAGGGTAAGTACCAAAGATACTCTTGGGCTTCTGCTCAAACACTGGGACACAGTCACCTAAAACAAATTAAGGACCGTTAAATCTTCTGATGGGAGGGAACAAATATTCAAGATTCCCAATTTTACAGACAAACAAAAATTAAAAAGGCACACTCTAATTAAATAAATGGGAGAATCAAACTCTATAGATCTGGGCAGTCCAATACAGAAGCCACTAGCCACACATGGCTACTTAAATTGTTAAAATTAAATAAAATTAAAACTTGAGTTCCTTAGTCACATTAGCTACATTTCAAGTGCTCAATAGCCACACATGGCTAATAGCTACTGTACTGAAGAGCAGAGATACAAAACACCTCCCATCAAAGCAAAAAGTTCTATTTAAATGGGCAGTGCTCCAACAGATGTTGCTGAACATGCAGGGGGAGAAAAACCCAGCTAACTGTATGTGTAAATGAAATTTGCAATTAACTCAAGAATACTTATAAAGTGGTATGAAAACGTAAAGGAATGGAAGACCATTTCCCTTTTGGTTAAACCTGCTAGAGGAAAGGAGGTTATGCTTATAACTTACATCCGCTTTTGCTTTAAAACCCGCAAGGCTTTCTGCTTGACCATATTCTAGGGAGAAAAACAGATTTTAATGAAAAGAAATAGAAAATATACATATGGTAAAAAAAAAATCTCCCATATCCCTACATACCTCTACTTCCTCTCATCTTCAAAGTAGTAGACACAGTGACTCCTGGATTGTTCACTTCCCAAGCAGGCTTTAAGCCCCAGCTTGTCTCAGTCTTGGCATCCCACATCTCAGTGTACTGAAGTACATTTCATTTTCCTAGTGCATATTATCTCTACTCCCAGCCCCAAGAGGGCCGATTTTGTATATCTAGGTGCCTTAGGGAGATTCCCAATTTGGACAGTCTGCTATCCACTCAAACTCAGCATGCTCAAACTCCTCAGCCTGCTCTTACCTTGGAAATGACTAATAATGGCCCCGCCAGTCTCTCACTTCTCTAGGTTGAAAACTGTTACACCAACCTTACCTTTCCTCTCTCTATTGTGTCTTCATGCACTGCTATCTTAGATTTTCAGAACTCACTTTTTTTTTTTTTTTTTGCGGTACGCGGGCCTGTCACTGCTGTGGCCTCTCCCGTTGCGGAGCACAGGCTCTGGGCGCGCAGGCTCAGCGGCCATGGCTCACAGGCCCAGCCGCTCTGCGGCATGTGGGATCCTCCCGGACCAGGGCACGAACCCGTGGCCCCTGCATCTGCAGGCGGACTCTCAACCACTGCGCCACCAGGGAAGCCCCAGAACTCACTTTTAAATTGATTCCTCTCATGTCATTCTCATGACTACCACCATGGTTTAGGCTTTCATCTCCTCAAGTCTAGGTGGGCATTCCTGCCTCTGTTCGCTCTTCATGCCATGCCATCTAACTAAGATGGCAGAGAAAATCCTCCTGTCACTTCCATTTCTAGACTGTTTCATAAATCATTTTATTTGTCTCCTCCAATGAAGAAGGAAAAGCAGGTATTACTACTTCACAGATGATAATAATACCTAACATTTACTGAATGTGTCTATGTACTAGACACAGTGCTATGTAGGTCACATGAATTACCTCATCTAATCTCACACTTTAAAGTAGATATCATCCCCATTTTATAGATGGGCAAACTGAGGTTCAGTGATGCTAAGTAACTTGCTCTAGCTTGAATGTCTAATAAGTTACAGGGATGGGAAAAAAGAAGACAGTTCTACATTCACAGTCCATGCACTTAAATATACAACTCTATGTTTCTACCTAACAGAAGAGGAAAATAAAAAATTAACTGACTTTATAAAGGTCACAGCTAGTAGGTAGTGATGATATTATTAATAGAACACTGGTACTTTTTTCCCAATATGCCACTCCTTAACCAGTCTATTATACTTACCTAACCTGACTAGCCTGGCAACTCATTATTCCTGAGCAGGCCCAGCTCTCCAGGTAGAATATAGCACCTTCTCAGTAGAATATGCTAATTCCCATGTACATGCTTCTGAACATGTGACCAGCATCTTCTCGCCACCAGGTCAAATCCCAGCCTTCCTCTCATATATGGCTGCAAACTCTCCTCCCTGAAGGATACACCCTCACGTATGTTTTCTTATTAGACTGTGAGCATCTCTTCCGTATCTCTCACCAGCCCTTACCACCAGGCCCTACTTCCACAGGTGCTCAAGTTAGGCTGTCACAGTACCTTCTTCAGGTGCTGCCTACCTTACCTTTGCAGGACCCTCTCTCATCTTCTTGATCTGATCCTTATACTTCACTAGTTCAGCATCCAGCCGAGAAATCTTCTTGTCAATAGATTCTGCCCTGCTGTCCACCTTGAGGGGAAAAACATCAAAGGCAGTAGTAGTTATTGCAATACATTTACATGAAAAGTGGCAGGAGAGGAATGAATATAGAGGAAGAAAGGACAAATAAAGAAGAGGGGCTTCCCTGGTGGCGCAGTGGTTAAGATTCTGCCTGCCAATACAGGGATCACAGGTTCAATCCCTGGTCTGGGAAGATCCCACATGCCTCGGAGCAACTAAGCCCATGCGCCACAACTACTGAGCCTGCGCTCTGGAGCCCGTGCGCCACAACTACTGAGCCCGCATGCCACAACTGCTGAAGCCCGTGCACCTAGAGCCAGTGCTCTGCAACAAGAGAAGCCACCGAAATGAGAAGCCTGCGCATGGCAATGAAGAGTAGTCCCCGCTCGCTGCAACTAGAGAAAGCCCACGTGCAGCAACGAAGACCCAATGCAGGCAAAAATAAATAAATAAAATTAATTAATTAAAAAAAAAAAGAAGAGCATATGGTGAAAGGTGGAAAACAGTGATTCCTAACTGTTGGTGGTGGGGAGATTCTCAGCCAGAAACACTGGAGAGCTTTTATAAACTATACTCCACCCCCTAAATTCTAATATTCCAGGGTCGCTCTCAAGTGTGCTTGAGCATAAAAAGAATTTGAGAATCACTGGGCTTAGTTGAGATTTCCCTAGAATCAGAGGCTTGTCAGGCTGAGGGCTCAAGCAGGCGGTGTGTGAAATGGGTTAGTGCCCAGTGGACCCCGGCTAGAGCTTAGATCTAATGCTATTCGCTTGGATAGAAGGTGGTGGCTTAATGTCAAGGGTCAGAGTTCTGAATTTTGTGTTACTGAGACCCAGGATTGGGGTACAGATATGTTGAACTAGGATATCAAGCCGAGGGTCCTGACGTGAGAGAGGGATGAGGGATGGAAGAGGAGTTAGGGGTCAGGCTGCACGAGGTGGGAAAGCTGTGTGGGCCTATGGCTGGTAGGAGCGAGGAGGTAAGGAAACAGCGAGTGGACGCGGCACGGGCATCAGAAGGGGTGGGGCGCAAGAAGGTCGAGACAGTGATGGGTTAGGGGTCCCTGGTTTGTGGAGTCAGCAATGACTTGGGTAACAGGAAAGAAAGTGGGGTGGAGAGCGCTGAGATGCAATAGGTCCGGGACCCAGGAGTAGGCGCCGAAGCCGGGGGTGGGTGGGGTTGGGGGGTGTCAGGGTCCCTGAGCCTAGTTATGCGTGTCTAAGTGCCCACCGTGCCAATGCAGTCAGTCAAGCTGGGAGGCGGAGCCTTGGGTTTCGCTTTCCCGAAGAATCGGTTCATCTTGAGCGGCCGCGAAGACAACCCAAACACTGGAGCAAAACCAGAAACGGAAGCAGAATCACCTCCGCCTCCGACTTGACTTCCGGCCCTCCATGCGCAAGCGCAATGTGCCTATTGGCGTTTACCGATCCTTTTTCCGGATTTTCAGCTCGGTCTTCCGGGGAAGAACTGCAGGAGGTTGGAGGTGAGAGACCGAGTCAGCAGGGGGCGTGGCCTCGGTGGCGGGCGTGGGCGTGGCCTCATAAGCCGGGCGGGGCCTCAGCTGAGTGGGTGGGGCCCGGGGGCGGCGGTAGCGGAATAGAGCCTGGCGGGAGCAGGGCTGCTCCGAGGGGCGGGGCCGGCAGGCCCGGGCGGAGCGTGGATGTAGCCAGGCGGGGTCGCGGGGCGCCGCGCTCAGCCTCCACCGCTGGGTGGGCAACTAGCGCGGGTCTGGCGGAGCGCGGCGGCGCTCGGAGATCGCGAGGCGATCGGGAGCGGCTGGGCCCCCGGCGGCGCGCCCCTCGGCTGGGCCGGGAGCCGCGCCAGTCGGTGCCCCTAGCCGAGCGCGGTCCGCCTCCCTCCCAGCGATCAGCCGTCCGGAGTGTGACCAGAGGGCATGCCGGATCCACCAGGGGCGCCGCCGCCTGCGTTCGCAGGCCGCGGGTGAAGAAGAAAGCACGGCCTCGCTCGGCCCGGAGCGAAGAGGTGACCCGGAGCGAAGAGGGGTCCCGGAGCGAAGAGGCGGTCAGAAGCGAAGAGGTGGCCCTAAGTGAAGAGGTGGCCCGGAGCGAGGAAATGGCGGCAGCCGGGCTCAGCATAATCGTCACCCACAGTGAGCGCGGGCTGCGAAGTCTGGCGGGGTCTGTGGGTTTGGCCACGTGCCCTCCCGAAGCGTATGTCCTTGTGTTCTTCTGGCGTCCGGAAGCGTGGGATCTGGTTTGTGTCTGTGGGGCCGGCTTTTGTACGGATCTTTTGTTCAGCACACCTTTCCATGTGGCTGGTGTGTTTTGTCTCAGGCCATTTGTTAGATCCTCGATGTCCGTGCTTCACATCGTGGTCCTGGTTGTATGTGTTAGTGTGTGCCTGCTTAGTTATTGTGGGTCTTTGTGCCTGGCTCTTTTTAGCCATGTTGTGTATGACTGCTGTGTGTCTGGACACCTACGTGTGTGCGAGAGTCTGAACTCTTGTCTGCTTTTTGAGTGAGCCGTGGGTTCAAGCGTACACTCTGGGCACCCTTTGGGTCTGCCTACTTTTGGAGTTGACACAGAACTAGACAAAGATCTGTGTCGAGTTCTCCAGATAGCTGAGTCCATGAGGTTTCCTCAGGACCAATTAGGGGAGACCCCAGGGCCTCGGAATCTGGTGACCAGGATTCTAGATAATTCAGGTTTAAATGACCTTGGGATGTCTCCTTTCTAGGCAGCTGGTTTCTACTTCACATAGAAGCAGAGTTGGTAACACTTGTCCCACTCACTACATGTGGCTGTTGAGTAGGCTTAAGGCTTGGCATGATGCACCGGCACAGGCTACCTCCTTATTGTCCACATACCCAGAAAAGAATTAGCACCTCTGCTCCAAAAAGGAATTTCTGCTGTTTGAGTTTATTCATTCATTTGTCTATTTACTGGGCACCAACCATGTATGTGCCGAGGTGTCCCCAGTGGGAGAGACCTGGAGGAAAAACATTTCCTTGCCCATTACAGCAAAGGAGACAAAAATAGTACCTTGCCCAGTACAACACAGAGTAGAGGACAGTCAGGCCACAGGATGCAGATGGCTTGTGAAGAAAAGCACGGACTTTGAAATCAGATAGATCTGAGGTCAAGTTCTAATTCTAGAGTTGGGTCTCATTAGGCAGGTCTTAATTGGACTGAACTCATAGTTTGCTTATCTGTGAAATGGGGAATAATAGGTAGTACCTACTTCATGGGGTTGTTCTGAGAATTAAATAAGATCATGCATGAAATGAGCCTAGTCAGCCCCTTATGCATGTTAAGTGCTTAAAATGTTAGCTGATATCACTGATATTGTTAGTTACTATAATAAAGGAAACAAAAATCCTTGAGCAGGCCTTGAAGGCTGGGTAAATAAAGTGTCAGCCTATATTGGTTTGTGTGAAAGAGTTTTCTTCAACACTTTTCTCTCTCCCCAGGCAACGAGAAGCACGATCTTCAAGTTATCCCGCAAGAAGGCTGTAGTGAACCAATTGTCCAAGACCTGGCCCAGGTTGTTGAAGAGGCCACAGGGGTCCCGCTGCCTTTTCAGAAACTCATATTTAAGGGTAGGTATTTCTCTTCCAGCTTTGAGCCCTCATTGCTAAAAGGCCTATTTAAAACTGCTTAACTTTAATAATAGAAACTCTCAGTTTCGAAACTAGGACAATTCTTATTTGCTTGTTAATTTATTCATCACTTCAACAAATATGTATTGAGGACCTACTATGCACTGGACACTTGCAAACATTTGAACAGGTATTAGAGTTGAAGTCACATGAAGGTGACAGAAATATTACCATTTTTGATGAAGCACATGGGCAGTCTTCCCTGGCCAAGTTAGATCCTCTTCCCATTGTGTTCAGATGGCACTCCCTACCACTTTTGCATAACTTGTACTGAAATTCCTATTAAATAATTGTCTTCATAGTCACCGAACATCTGATTTCTCTAATACAATAACAAACTCCACAAAGGGCAGAGATACTGCTATGTGTCCAATGCTTGGCATAGCGCTGGCACAGAGAAGGTATTGAACAAACTTACCAGGGCCTGGATGTGGCAGGCCCAGTGGATGATGCTGATTTGTGCCAGGACACACCCACTCCCATCCCCATTCTCTGGTCTTCCCATTCCCACGGGAACCCATTATTCTGGTATCTGATGAGGCTAAATGTATCCCATTTGGTGCCAGTCATAAAAAAATTAGTGATGGGAAGCATTTATATTTGTACTTCATAGTACAGCTCCTTGTGTTTTCTTTTTAAAAACGTTTCATTTTAGAATTATAAAGGCAATAGAAATCCATGTTTGAAAATAGAGGAAAGCACAAAAAAGAAAATGTTCTCCTGGATAAAACCCCTTATAACAATTCAATATATTTCCATCCAGCCTCTTTTTGTTTGTTTGTCCTGGCATCCCAAAGTGTGGGTTCTCATTTGTGGCTTTTTTTTTTAGTTGACAAAACTAGGATCATTTCTAGTGATCTTCTTATAACACTGGGTCATCAACATGTATTATGGCATTGAAGTTTCCTGAAAAAATGAGCTTTGATGCCTACAGAGTCTTCTGTTGTACTGATGTATAGTTAATCAGTCCCCTATTCCTGAATTCTGGGCTCTTTCCAGTTTCTCACTATTATGAATAATAGTTATTGTATAACAGTTATTGTGCAGGCACATGTCCAGTTATGTGTTAGGGTAAATATCTAAAATGAAGTTACTGGGTCAAGAAACCTTCTAAAAAGCTTATACCAATTCATCCTCTTCTCATTAGTGAACACACTACTTCCTGTACCCTTGCTGAAATCTGTTTTCACTGTTGTGCAATTGTTGCAACCTGACATCACTTTCTTCTTTGTTCAGGAAAATCTCTGAAGGAAATGGAGACGCCATTGTCAGCACTTGGAATACAAAATGGTTGCCGGGTCATGTTAATTGGGAAAAAGGTAAATTGCTTTTTCCACCAGAATACCTCAGAATCAAATGACGAAGGTCTTTTATGCATGTTTCTGTTTAGAAGGCCAAGTCAGGGAGCCAGGGTTGGCACTGGTGAAGTAGCGCTCTCTAAACAAATGTAGTCTCTTTGTTCCCTGGAGTCACCAGTTCTCACACCCTCCAGCTCCTGTTGTTTAGGGCTTTCACTCTGGGAATTAGGAGTGGTTATGCTGCCTCAGTAATGTGGCTTTTGTGTTGGTGGTGGAATCAGTCTGGTTAAAATAGTGCCTGAGGCAGTCCCTACTCACTTGGAGGGGGATTTGCAAGAGAGCGTTTTGTTAGAGTAAACCTGTAGATTTTAAAAATAAGTACTCTGCAAACTTCAGGAGCCTCTCTTCCTTTAACCATTCTTTTTACTAAAATCTCACATAAGGATAAACCCTCTTTGGCTGGAAAGAAAGGTTCAGACTAAAGAGGTGACGGAGAAAAAGCCAGTTGGTGAGAAAAGTAGGCCCTGGGGTGATGAGAGAGGGCCATAGCCAGCCCTGCATTGTGACACAGTGGAATTGTTGGTCCTGTGAAGTTCCCTTACTTCGAGTGAGAATCAGGTGGCTGATTCAGAGTGGAGAGAGGGCAGAGATTAGCAAAGTGGAGGCAAGGAAAGTCTACTCCAGACTTGGAACTGCCAGGAGACTGGCACTCAGGATTTGGCCACAAAGAAGAATGTGAACAATTTAGGGTAGTGTAAAAGCAGGAAGCTGCTGGCTACCAATTAAGGTGAGAGAAGGGGAAATAATCTAGAGATTTCTTGCTCAAGGGTCAGGGAGAATGGTGATGGGCAATGAGCAGAACCCAAGGGTTGAGTTTGAAGAAGCTTTAGGACCCTCAGTTGGAGCTGTCCTGGAGTATGTGGAGCCAAGTCCAGTTTAAGTCTCTTCTACCTATTTTGGGCTGTGTAACCTTAAGTTACTTTACAGTAACCTCAATTTCATCATCTGAAACAGTACCTCCTTCACTGGATTGTGGTAAGGCTTAAACAGTAATACAGGTGAAGTGCTTAGGATGAAACCTGGCATACAGGGGATGCTCAGTACAAGTATTCTTCCATCATCATCATACTGAATGAGAGAGCTCAGGAATTCCATTTAAAGGAAGGGTAGAATTCCACCTGTCTCACCGTTCTGGACTCCTCACAGGCATTCACTGTGATTTGTTAACACTCCAGGCTTCAGTCCGGAATCTGTTGGTAATCAGCCCCAGGCTGAGGTTGAACCTGGCACATGGATCAGCTTTGTTCTCTGAACCCAAGCCGTCAGGGCTCTCTTGCCAGAATGTGTACCTGATACCTTCTCTCTATCTAGTCTAGAGTCTTTGTAGATAGAAAACCTTCATGTATAACCCTCCAGCTTGCCTTCTAAGAAGCAACAGAGTTAAGATGATTTTTTCTAGGTCGGTGGTTTAACCCACTTGTGGTCAGATTTTTTTTTTCCTGACAGAAAAAAAATTCTTGACTTCATTTTATTCTTAAACATTTTAGAACAGTCCAGAGGAAGAAGTTGAAATAAAGAAGTTGAAAGATTTGGAGAAGTCTGTGGAGAAGATAGCTGACCAACTGGAAGAGTTGAGTAAAGAGCTTACTGGAATCCAGCAGGTAACTCTCTCCGTGGACTTTGTCGTTCTGCCTTCTATAAGAATTCTCTGGAGATACAAATGTGTGGTTACAAGGGCGGACTTTGTTGTCAGACTCCCTGGGTTCAGACCCTGGCTCTATCCTTTCTGTTACTGTGGGCAAGTTTGCCTTTGTCTCAGGTTCCTCATCTGTAAAAAGGGAGTAATGATGGTACCTCCCTCTTAGGGCTGTTGTGGGGATTAAATTACATAATTTGAGCCTGACATATACTAAGTGCTTTGTAAGTGTTATCAACACTGTTATTTCCAAACCCCAGCCGGCATCCATTTGTGCTCCTAGGAGAACACCTGCTGTGCTAGGATCATGTGTCTAAAATAGAATAAGTAGCTTCTCTCAGTCTAGTCAGCTATAATGTATTTGGCAAGGCAAAGAACATTGTGTTGATTCATAGAAGGTCCAAGTTGACCATGATCTTGGGGTGGGCATAGGGGTCATCCTATTCAATTCCTTATAGTATTAGAGGTGGAGTACTGAAACCAAATAAAGATGAGGAACAGCCCCAAAGCACATACTTATTTTTGATCCCTTCATTTTATAACATTTATTGATGTATGTTTGTGTTTTAATTACAAAAGTAATACATGCTGATTGTACATAGCTTTTAAGAAAACATATGGGCACTAATATGAAAAATAATAATTACCTGTAAGACCCCCAACTCAAAGATAATCATTACTAAAAACTGGAATCTATTTTTTCATCTTAAAAAAAATTGGTATAATGTTAGACACACTTTGTTTGTAAATTGTTCCTTTATTGGTTTAAAAAATTGAACATTTTCCCATGTCATTAAAAATGATCATACGTAACCAAATCACTTTGCTGTATACCTGAAACGAACACAGTATTGTAAATCAACTATACCTAAATAAAGAAAAAAAGTTTTGACTGAAAAAAACAAGGTCATACTTTTCAAAACTTGTATAGTATTTATTTCATCATATGAATGGATCATGGTTTACCTAACCAATTCTCTATTATTCATCACCTAATGTTATTTTACCATTATGTATAGTGCTTCCTTTTTTTTTTTTAACATCTTTATTGGAGCATAATTGCTTTACAGTGGTGTGCTAGTTTCTGCTTTATAACAAAGTGAATAAGCTATACATATACCCATATCCCCGTATCTCCTCCCTCCTCTGTCTCCCTTCCACCTTCCCTACCCCACCCCTCTAGGTGGTCACAAAGCACCGAGCTGATCTCCCTGTGCTATGCGGCTGCTTCCCACTAGCTATCTATTTTACATTTGGTAGTATATATAAGTCCATGCCACTTCATCCCAGCTTACCCTTCCCCTTCCCCATGTCCTCAAGTCCATTCTCTACATCTGCATCTTTATTCCTGTCCTGCCCCTAGGTTCTTCAGAGACATCTTTTTTTTTTTTTAGATTCCATATATATATATGTTTTAGCATATGGTATTTCTTTTTCTCATTCTGACTTCACTCTGTATGACAGACTCTAGGTCCATCCAACTCACTACAAATAACTCAAATTTCTTTACTTTTTATGGCTGAGTAATATTCCATTGTATATATGT